AAGTGGCGTAATTCGAGGTTGTATAATTGGAGGCACAGATGGTGGTGTTGGTGGATCTGGCAATGGTGGTGGGACTAGATGTGGCTCTAATGATCGAGGTGTCTCGTCATCATCATCATCACGTCTCCAGCCACCACCTCCGCCTTCACCACCACCACCTCCACCACCACCTTGCCAACCACCACCACCACACCCTCGACCACCGGTCCTCGCCCACGCAGGCCCACGTCCTGGACGCAACGGGTCTCGCTCCCTTCAGTTGGACACCACCACGACGACCAGAGGTGGCGGCTCCTCTGGGAGGAACGAGAGGCCCCGCTCGGCCGGGTGTCCACCAGTCCGGGGTCCCGTCTCCTCCTTTCAGACCAGGACCCTCCCTGTTGGGCTTCTGCTGGAGGCAAAGAGAGGGCGCAAAGACCTGGCACGGATCGGGACTGCGGTGCAGGCCTCGTCTCGACTCCGCGGCCGCTGTAAATAACAACAAAAAAACGTGAATTCCTGTTCTGGGTGTTGCTTGTCGTGAAACCCCAGTCGCATCAGTGAATCAGTCGACATCACCTATCTTTAAAATCAGGTGAGAGCGACAGGTGGTCGGGTGGCTAGAGACACAAAGGGGGTCGTGCATGGGCGGAGTTTGCGGCGGGGCGGGGGGGGGGGGCAAGGGGGAGCAACACCCCGCTCAAACCGGATAGCTTTATTAATTTATTTTCACTAATTTACAATTAAGATGAAACAAAATAATAATTAATTATACGCACCCGCGATTCCTAATGTGATGGTCAAAGCGAACCCCTGCCCCCCCCCCCCCACCCCGCATATAGAAGTCAAATTCCAACTTATGTGACCAACCAAAAGCTACGCCGCCGATGAATGGGGTGGTCCTCAGAGATGGGAAGAGATGCCCCGCTGACTGCTCGGACGTTGCTCAGCGTCGCCGTGCTTGCGAATGTTTGAGGTTTTTTTTTTTTTTTAAGGCGGCACCGAAGAAGGAGGAACAAAAAAATTGGTGTTTCTCATCGTCTGCCCTCGTCATCTTCCAAATTCACGACCACCTGCGGATCGTCACACGTGCATCAGCTCCAGCGGCCGGTCGCATAAACAAGTTAAGTGGATATTCTTGGGTCTTTCGGTGAAGTCACGTAGATAGAAAATAAAAATGAAATTGAAATTTAAAGGCAAAAAACCCACGATCGCAATACAAGTGGTCTTAAATTCGATTTAAAGCTTTCTTGACTGCAAGGATTCATCTTCTTTGGTTCTTTCGGTAAAGTCACGTAGAATGAGAATCAAATAATATTTGTTTTATTTTATTATTTTATTCTCATTATACGTGACTTTACCGAAAGAACCTAAGAAGACAAGCGGTCTTGTTATTTTCTATTTACGTGACTTTACCGAAAGAACCAAGACTATGAATTCCTGCAGTCACGAAAGTTTTAAGTCAAAATTTTACTTAAGTGGAATTTTTTTTGGGGGGGGGGGTTCCTTTAGTTTGGCATTCATAGCAGTAGATGTTAGGGGGGGGGGACACTTAACAAAGGTGCTTTGCTGCAACTGCCCACAGGTGCGGTGCTTTAAGGTCCGCAGCTTTCACGCGCCTCGCGAATCCAAACGCGAAACGCGTGCAGGTCCTTACGCTACCTCTTACTCCAGTAGAATTCTTTAAGTCTGCCCGTAAATACAGCAGATTTGGGACATTTGTACATGACACATTTATTCGCCGTTAACGATTCCAGCAGTCTCACGTTGACAGCTCCCACAGGCTGCAACGCTACCGTCCCACTGATGCACACGTTGCAGCAATACTCTTGCACGGACCTTCAAGAGACACTCAAACGGCCCGCCATCACCTCTTTCGCCTGGCTTTTTGAGCGTCGCCGAGCTAGGTGCTGCGCCTCGCAGAGTCGCGGTCATTTATTTATGTCCGTGAAATATCGTGCGTGTTGTGAAGTCAATGTTGAAACGGTGTATATCCTGATTTAAAGCTTTCGTGACTGCAGTAATTCATATTCTTAGCTCTTTCGGTAAAGTCATCTGGCTACCATGAGAGATTCGTTCATGAGGCTATCCACATATACAAGCACAGAGACAACTTCAACCGAGAAGATGGATTCTGGCTTAGCAATTATTGGAAGGATTTGATAAACCATTTCAGGTCTTAATTGATTGTTCACGCTTACGGTGGCTTTCAGACAGCATACATTATTTTTTCGTCTCCCCCCTCCTCTTTTCAGAACATAGATGGACTCGTCCTTCTAAATAATCGCTGCCCGTGGCGCTAACGTTTTATAAATAAATAAATAAATACGCCGTTTAAAAATAAATACATTTATGCAAACCGGCACACCTGATGACGACCGTTTGTGTTATGGTCGAAACGTCGTGAGAATTTTTGTTTTATATATATTTTATTATTTTATTGTTTCCCTTCAACGTGACTTTACCGAAAGAGCTAAGAATATAATAGGTGTTTTATCGTGTTAAAAGATGATTGATCGAATACCATGTCCATGCTCATAAAAATAAAATACTTACCGGGGTTTTAAACGTACGACAGATGCAATATTGTGGGCATGTGGGAGAAGCACAATTTTAGAACACTGTCTAAATGTAGAATTGTACTTGACTCAGAGCTCGGACACGTGTACACGTGTTTGTCTTGTTTTGTGTACACACGTGTACACGTGTTTGTCTTGTTTTGTGTACACACGTGTACACGTGAAGCGGTGTTTGAAACTTCATGGTTTTCCGGTCTGCGCAATGTTTCTGTTCTTGTTACGCTGAGCTTTTCTCGCCTTTTACACTTTAGATTATTGTTCGCATGAGTCCAGCTAGTGGACTCCATAATATGGAAATTGGGGGGGCTCCGCTACATAGTTTCCAGAAGCAGACCGCAGCAAGTAACAAGTACAGTTCTTCAGGAACTGTTTTTGGTTTCAGCATAATGGACAACGGCTTAGTAGTAATTTTTGTACACGTTTCTGTGTGTTGTTTAAAAATATTGAAAGTTTGTTGACTTAGCCCATCAGATTTTTTCGATTTAAAGCTTTCGTGACTGCAGGGATTCATCTTCTTGGTTCTTTCGGTAAAGTCACCACGTAGAATGGAAATAAAATAATACAAATAAAACATAACAAAATAAAATTTCCATCAGCTTTTGTTTCAGGGTCGATAAAATATCCACCACGCTTTTATCTGGAGATCAGCAGTGGGTTTCTTCTGATCGAAGGAGACAATCCATGGGCTTGTCTTCAAACCAGGAGAGGCTGCTGACAGGAGATTAGCACCACTGCATGCGTGACTGTGGAAACAGCACTGACTTGACATGTAGACCCATATCTACCCAGGCGTGATGAAGCATGTTCATATAGCCCCCACGACCCGTAAGGCGAAGGGAGTCCTTCCTCTTGCAGTGGATTGACAGCTGTAGGTGTTAGCGCGAGAAAGGCAGTACCATCCATATTTGGCACAAGAGCTTTATAGTAGAGTGGTGATGATGATGATTTAAAAACAAACCGCTGTTTTAAAGTGGAAAACCTCACCGAGGCCCAAGCCTGTTTTTCAGGTGAGTGCCGCTGTTCCATTGGGTTGTTTGGCCATGAATTCCACGAATGGGAGTTTTGGCTTCGTGTGGGAGGAAACTGGGGAAGCCGCAGAAAATCCATCCGGTGCGAGAAGGAACAACGTTAAAATAAACCGCACAAAACGAAACTCTTTTGTTCTATTCTATCTAGAATCGCACAAAACAAGTTTAGCGAGCCACTTGATGTACTGCCATCTGTTGGGAATATCGCAGCCGTGCAGGTGTAGTAATCTTTGCGTGGCCCACCATCCCCACCTACTGGACTTTAAACTAAATTTATTTTGTATTTTTGAATTCAGTCTCAGCCCAACACGCAACAACAGTTTCTTGCCAAACTATTGCTGGATGAGGGGGCTCCCCCCCCCCACGCCTGTGATCATAATTCACCACGCTGGTCAATGCGGGTCGGTGGAGAGCATAGACACGTGGAAGCCTATAAGTACCGTACAACAATGCATGCAGTACTGTCCACTGCAGCTGCCCGCACAACGCAGCCCGCAAATTAATCCCGATGACACCGTTTGTAATTCACCTTTATTGTATTCCGAACGCAATATACAGGGTGGTCCAGATGTCTTGCGACCCCGAATTAATTAACCCCGAACATATTTTCCTTTGCATGTTAAATTTCTGTTTTAAATAAACATTACTTGAAAAGGTAACTTTAAAAAAAATGAATAACAGGTCCCTGCAGGGTGGGCTGGTAGAAGTTCGCAAATGAGATAATGTGACTTCCAAATGTTGGGTGCAATAAGACATATCAAGTCTCTGCGCTGTCTATTGCTGATTTTACACCCAACAGCACGAGATTTCACTTCGTTAAAGTATTGAAAGGGGACGGACGGACACATTAATCTATTGCAGGCTGGTACACTCAGTTTACAACTTCGTTCCTACCAGTAAAAATGGGGATCACAAGACATCTGGACCTATCCTGTACAATTCAGTACATTATCATGCAATAGACAATGTGTTTAGCTGGTATTGTTATCGTGTTAGTACTGTTCTTGTCATACGATTGCCGTAGCACATTAAACAGTGACATGTCACGCAACAATTGCCTTGCATTGATTTCATTTCGATATTAACGGTTGAAGCGACGGCATGCGCTGCATCTCGGTGCTGTCAATAAAGTTAACTTTGAACACGCGAGGGAGAGAGAGAGAGGGGGGGGCAAAGGTCGCGCCGAACGCGGAAGTGCGACCCACGTGCAGCGGCTCGTCCACGTGGCTTCTGCGTTGTGACCGCGTTGGGGGGTCCGTGGGTCACTTGAACTCACCCAACCGGGGGGGTGAGGGTAAAGGGGGGGCAAAGGGGGGCAAGGGGGGGGTAAAGGGGGGGCAAAGGGGGGTAAAGGGGGGGGCAAAGGGGGGGGGAGGTGAGGGTAAAGGGGGGGGGTGAGGGTAAAGGGGGGGGAGGTGAGGGTAAAGGGGGAGGGTGACTCGAGGCCTCTAAATGCGCCTTCGCCTCGCGTCTTTTGCGGCCGCGTGGAGCCGCAGCGGCTGCGATCCGCGTGTCCCCGTCCCTACGCCGCCGCGGAATGGCAGCGGAAGCCTTCAAGGGGGGGCTCGGGGCGCCTCGGACGACGCAGTCTCCAGGGTATCTTCGGCGTCCACCAACGGCCTGGCGACCCCTGCGTCGTCTTTGGTAGCGTCCACCCCAATGGCCTGCGCGGCCGTTTCAAAGTCCACCATTTCGGTCGGCGCGTTGGTCGCGTCGCCCACACCTTCGGCGTCCACCGCTGAGAGGTCATCGGTTACCGTAACCACCGTGTATCCTGTGGATGACGGTGCATCTACCGACGCCTCGTTGGATATCCTCAGCCCTCCCTGCGTAACGTTGACAGCAGACGCCGCTGTCGCCAGCAGTGCCCCATTGTCCATCGCCTGCGCATCGGCATTCACCGCCTGTAACGTGACTGCACCCTGCAACAGCAGTAGCACCGTCGCCAGCTCCGCACCGTCCACCACCTCTTCTATCACCAAAACACTCGTCCCACAGTTAACCACCAACAGCAGCTTCATTGCCTCCACAACAATGACCACCACCATCCCGATGTCCACCACTACCACCACCACCACCGTCACCTCCATCCCAGCGTCAACCACCGCGGCGACCTCCACCCCAGCATCAGACTCGCTGTCCACCACAACCACCACCGCGACCTCCACCCCAGTGTCCATCCCGCTGTCCACCACCCCAATGTACACCACCACCATCGCAACATTCACCCCACCGTCTACGACCACCACAACCACCGCCCCCTCGTCCACCCGCAGCCTACCCGCCCCATCGCCTCGCTCCTTCACGGCGACGCACTTCTCCGAGACGGAATTCGTCCTCCACGGCTCCCTGCGCAAGGTGCGCCCCTACTACGCGGACGCCACGGCGCGCTGCAAGGCGCGCTGGCTCGGCCTCTCCCTGCGCCAGCTCTACGAGCGCGAGTTCCACTCGGAGACCGTGGCCTCGTACGAGGCCGCGTGCGCCGTGGGCCGCCTCACCCTCAACGGCCGCCGAACCCACCTGGACGCCGTGCTGCGCGACGGCGACACGATCCGCCTGCGGACCCACAGGCACGAGCCGCCCGTGAGCTCACGGCCCGTGGTGGTGGTGGCCGAGGAGCACGACTTGGTGGCGGTGGACAAACCCGCGTCGCTGCCCGTCCACCCGTGCGGCCGCTATCGCCACGGCTCGCTGCTATTCGTGCTGGGCAAGGAGCGCGGCGTGTCTGGGCTGCACACGCTGCATCGCCTCGACCGCCTCGCGTCGGGCCTCGTGGTGTTCGCCAAGAGCAGAGAGGCGTCCAGGAGGGTGGATGAGCAGATCAGGCAGAGGCTGGTGCGCTCCCCGTCGCGCGTCGCTCATCGCTCGTCCTCATGAAGATGATTATGATGATGATGGCCTAATTTCTCACCCGAGTATTTTCCGGGTCGCTGATAGACTTAAGACTGCAGCCCGTAGGGCACGCAACTACGAATAGCCGTAGCGAGGGGGTATACTGGGTGTGGTGTGCCGGGGTGAGAATATTATTTTGTGTGGCCGACTCAGGCCCGGCTTAAAGTGAAAAATCCTCTGGATGACACGATATGGCTGTGCGAGTCGGTGTCAGGCTTTCTCCCAACTCTCGTTCATCCACCGGGACCCACGAACACCGTGCATCGTACGGCACCACATTTTCCGAAGAACAATTAGAAATTAAGTCTTTTAACGCTTGCACCAGCATGCTGATTGCTAAATACGTCCCACTTAAATGCGGTCTTGACATTTTTATCGGCGTTAAATACGTCAATGGGACACCCAAAGTAAACACAGATATTTGTTGTAAGTTGAAGTCGGTGCTTTAGATTGTGTTTAGAAATCATTAAGTAGGTGCAGCCTATATATACTTTTTGTATATGAAATAAGTAAAAAAATACTTTAAAAAAACACGCTTTTAATGAAATGTACCCTACTAGTAATGGAATAACTCCACGACTCCAGGAAGTGGCCCCGAAGCTTGCCATAACGTAAGGGGACTGTGGCCAATGACAGCCAACGTGAGTTGAGCGTGGACAATTTGACCCAAGCCGAAACATAACATATACAAATTTATGTTTAAAATATTTTTTTTTAATTTTAAATGATAGAATATAGTATTATCATCAGTATGACATAAGTATGCCAAGTTTGCAGCTGATACCACATTGGGAAGTGGGTTAAAAATGAGTTACAAGATTTGAGGATACAACAGAGTTAATAAAAAGCGTGTAATAATAAAATAGGTCAATTCTAAAAGACTCTACGTGCCGTGGTGGAAGTTTGAGAAAACGTGGTAGAGATTGGTAATGGAGTTTGGGAAACCCTGGTGTGCATCACAGGACAGTGAGAGATGATGACAGCTTGGCTGAGGATGATGATGATGTGAGAGTGCCTGATCGGCAATTGGCAGGCAGGTCGTGAGTTCAAATTTAGGCCGGTGGTCAACACAGTGAATTATCCCACCAGGGTCACAATCTCTACCACTGAGAAGTCCATAATGGTTGTCATGTAGAGAGAGATGTGCACGTTCCATCGGCATGTTGACTTTCTACCATTGGCTCAGAACCACCAACAGAGATAAGCAGTCCCCCATGCTCAATTGGATTAGGGTGATATTCGCATTTTTAATTGGCTTACAAATACTGTATATGTCTGTGCCTCTGAGCAACCAGCAGGGAATGCTGCCGTCCTCGTAAGATCAAGGAAGCAAAGCTAAACTGAATTAGGATTGCGCTTAGATGGGTGACCATGCATGGTTATAAGGCTGCAGTGCAAATGCTATGGTTAACAGATGGCAGTGCAGCAAAACCACTGTACTTGTACGCTTTTGCGTCTCTGCTTTCCATGCTTTCCACTTCCACCAATCCCCCCATGATCCACACGACGTGGTGAAGCCCTCATCCACCAGTGGAGTGACAAAAGGGCTGTGTGGGTGTACGCTATAGCAGCAGTGATCCTTGCCTTAACTGAACCCCAACTGATATACTGCACGCCCGTCTCTTGTGACCTAACTCTGACACACCCACATTTGACACAATTCACAATCTCCCTCATCCTCTATTTAACCCCGATGCTGTTGCTACAGCAGCGTGCAGCCTCTTTTGAAGGTGGATTTCTCACCCCCGCACACCCACCAGCTCTGTCATTGCACAATTCGCGTTGCATTGTACAGTGGGTTAAAATTGAGTGAACCTTAGCACAGGTGAGTAATGATTCCACTGCAGTAGTGATACCGCTACTGTGCTACGTTTTATGATGCAGTATTCACTCGGGGCACAGCACTATAAATGCATTTAATGTACGGTAATGCACCCTGTTTATTGAAAATAAATTATACACTACACTAACTTACGTTTGTAATGCGCCCCTAACCTAACAGGCGTCTCCAAGTGGAGAAACAGAAGAAGCATGGGAGGGAACAGGAGAAGATAAAGGAAGCGATTAAGGGAGTCCTAAAGCACGGTTGCAGATTAAAGTTGCAGTGGCGCACAAAATACTTGCCACTAATGGTACCTTGCTGATCTCCCCAAGGAGCATAAACCATCATGTGAATTCCGGTTATCCTCGCAGTGGCTTTTGGTGAACCATCGAATAAAGACAGTCACCGCATCGCGCACTTTCAGATGCACTTCTACGTCCATCTGAAATGCTCTTCCAATATTAGGCCACTGGAGCTATGCACGTTGAAATCTAGTTCAACGTACATGAAACATTTAAAGCCGAAATGCCTTCAACTTGTAAAATCCTCTGGTGGGGGCCATTCGGTGACGTATTTACGCGTTGACCCTGCTGCCACGATGCCGCCTGCAGGTGCACAAGGAGTACTTGTGCCGCGTGGTGGGCGAGTTCCCGGCGGGAGAGGTGGTGTGCGAGGAGCCACTGTCCGTGGTGGAGGGCCGGCTGGGCGTGAGCCGCGTGGACCGCCTCGCCGGGAAGCCCAGCCGCTCGCTGTTCCGCCGCCTGCGTTACGACGCTGACACTTGCGCAGGCGGCTCGAGCTTGCTGAGTTGTGTGCCCGTGACGGGACGGTCCCACCAGCTGCGCGTCCACCTGCAGAGCCTGGGCTTCCCCATCCTGCTCGACCCCGTGTACGGGTCGCCGGCATGGGCCAACGGAGCGCCACTCGTCGACGTCCTCCGGCGCATCGCCGACGAGACGTGCGAGCCGTCTGCGCGCTCGCTGGTGGAGCGGCTGGGCGCTGCCGATGAATGGGCGTGGGGGCGAATCCCACCGGGCCCTGGTGGTGTTCGTGGAGGTGGTGGTGTTAGTGACGTCGCGAGTGAGGCTGTGATGGCGGAGGTTGTGTGGCCGGAGAAAGACCCCATCTGCAGCGAGTGCCGGCTGCAGCGGCCAGACCCAAGGCCGCGAGACCTGGGCATGTGCCTGCACGCCCTGCGCTACAGTGGGCCTGGTTGGGGCTTCGAGGTGCCCATGCCGGATTGGGCCGCACCTGATTGGACTGAAGACCTCGCGGCATTTTAAAGTTTGACAGTCGAGAACTGAAAAACTCTCTCATCTGGTTATGAGGGCATTTTTGTCCAATATCCATTCAAGTTTCCCATGTATGATCTCAATTTGGAAATTATTTTGGTGACAAGGTCAAACATAGAATAAAACACGTTCACTATAAAAATGTGTTGTACGTTAATGGCTGAAAATATTAAAGAACCTGGTTTCTCATCTCCTTTAGAATTCGCCGGCTAGCGTCGTGACCTACCATCTGCTGTCCCCTCTATTATGCGACTCGCACTGTTGTACAAAAAATATGGTTTTGCATGTTGACGCTAAATAAAAATTGTAACTATGCGTCTTCATTTTCCATCAATGATTATCTTACATCTGTATTCCAGGATATTTCCGCAGATCTTGAAGATCAGGGTTCTATCCATGATAACCCCTAGATATCTTGGAGAAGGGTCACAGTACACTGGGCTACCACAGAAGGATACATCAAGGGTGCCATCTGCTCCATGATTGTCCATGTGGAAAGAGCTTAAGGTGCTTTTGGAAGGATTTGGTCGGGAGTCTCCAGTGGCGGAAGTACCCCTCCGGTAGCTAGACCCGGGGTCGGCAAGCAAAATAACAAGAAGAGCCATTTTTCGGTAACAAATAGACCCCCTCAATATTTCAACAGCCGCAACGCATGTGAATACTAGCCGATGTTTAACGAATAACGTCACGAAGCAGTCCTTAAAGAGCCGCAGGTTGCCGACCCCTGGCCTGCTATACCACGGTCGATGATGAGATTGATATTGAAACTCGTGCAATTACAATACTTGCACACTTGGTGGCAGCAGAGAGCATTGCTCCATTGTTGCAGCGTTGGGAATAGTGGTAGGGGAATGAGAGCGACGGGAATGTTCACACTTTTTTTTTATTATGAAATGGAATTTCCTGTCCGTTGGGGAAGGAATATGAAAAAATAGAAAAGTCAATTGGGTTACGGCCGGTGGGAAAACGGGAGGGGATGGGGAGAGGGAGTATGGGTATGTTTGAACCCAAAAAAGTTGTCGACGAAGGTGGGATTCGAACCCACGCGTGCAGAGCACAATGGATTAGCAGTCCATCGCCTTAACCACTCGGCCACCTCGTCAGATGAGACACAGCATTGATATCAACCTATACGAATGTTATCAGGATGAGGATTTTTTTTTCCCTTCAATTGGATGGATGACATTTTTAATGGTACTGATTTAAAGCTTTCGTGACTGCAGGAATTCATTATTTTTCTATCTACGTGACTTTACCCGAATAACCCAAAGAGTATTTTGAATGGTGTAGGCAATTATTTACTGAGACAATTTAATACTGTACCGTACTTTACGATGTGCTTGGTCGCTTATAATTAGATTTACGTCGATTGCCTATTTTATCGCTGCAAGTGCTGTGCAGTTTGACTGGGAAGTCCCATACAGAGGAAATTAGTCATTGAAACTAGCAGGTCCATTTCGGCTAATTTAATGCAATACAGTCGTAGGAATTAATCAAATAAGCTCACTTATAAGTAGACTAAGTATTTGGTGACACCGCTCGTGGTGCAATGGTGCAAAAATAACAAAAACTCAACACATTTGTTAAAAATACAATGTAGAATTGGTGATGTATCGGGCAATGTTCCCTCTTGATTGAACAAAGACAGAGGGCAGAGCGATACAATGAATAATAGTTGGAGAATACATTATACACCATGGTTGCACTGAAAAATATACAACTTTAAAAAATGTTTCCTGATGAACGGTTTTCAAATTGTCATATGAGTGAGTACCCTATTAAATAATTGACATTAACAGACAAACCGTTCAAAATAATAAAAACAAAATTCACGCACGAACTCCAGTATTTGTATCATTCCTCGTAGCCCACATGCGCATTGCTATTTGTATTTTTGTATTTGCGTGCTATTTCAGAAGGGCCATTGCCCGAAACGTCGGCTTTTTGTTGTTGTTTATTTCAATTGCCACGCGGTGCGTCGAGTTTCGTGACGTGCATCGGCCGTTCTATTGTTGCGTGTCGCGATCGGTGGAGGCACGTGATCACGGCCACGTGCTCACGGCCACGTGCTCACGCTTCAGTAGGTGGAGAGGAATGTTGATTTATCATTTTGCTGCTATACATTTCCACGTGATAAGCCACATTTGTGGTGGCCAGGTAGCTTCTGAAAAAAAAGTTAATAGCTCAGTGGGTTTTACCTGGTAAGGAAAAAAAATATATAAATATATAGTTTCGTTTTATTGGTATGTTTTTTAAAAAGTGATTTGTTTACCTTTCCTATACGTTTGCACTCCGGTCGTGTCTTGGTATCGTTTGTTGTTGTAACGTTCTGCACATTCGTTGGGAAAGGGCTTTACAGCTCATCGGATTGCTCCGGCATAAGTAAATAAATAAATATGATCTTGGCGACAATATGGGACCTTTCTTGCCAGTGTCAAAATATAACAACAGCTTTTACCCTATTATATATAACGAAAGCTGTCTCTGGTGTGGCCCAATCAGTTTCAAAGACAATGCATATAGTATCAGAGCACTTTTGTTTGCATGTCCACCACAAATACGCGTGTTTAATGCGGACAGGATTCCTTGAAAAAGGATTTCCGTTTGGATGTTTTAACATCTTAACACAACTGTTTTATTGCCAAAAAACCCTATTGTTATACAGTGTTTCATTATATGATTCTGGTGCAGTGGGATCACGCCTGGGCTCGCCCCTTAGAGGAATCTCCTCCCGTCTCAACGGGTGGCGCTCCCACACACCCCCCTCCCCCCAGCGCTCGCTCCCCATTGGTCAATTTGAATTGTAGGGGACCTGCTCCATTGATGTCTGTGCCATATTTTAGATTTCTCTTTGAGAGACGGTTGCCTTTGCTGTAATTTCTCTTCGCTTCGTTGATTGCAGTTTATTGTTTTAACTCGTTCTGTTTTTCCTCTGTCGTTTTTGTGACCCCCCACCCCCCCCCCCCCCCCCCCCCCCCCGACCTCTTTTGCAAATGAGACTTAAATTGGTCTTCATATTCTTGGATCTTTCGGTAAAGTCACGAAGATAGAAAATAAAAAATACAACTATAAAATAAATTATTCCTGCAGTCACGAAAGTTTTAAGCCAAAATGTATACTGGTCTCTTTGAGTTCTCACCGGGTCAAACGTACATTTCATTTGATTTGACAGCCGGTAATAAAGTACAATATATATAGCTTGCGCGCATGAGCGAGTTGGATAGTGGCATCTCCATTCTGAGAGGTGGCGATGGATTGACGATGTCTTCATCCAGCAGTGGATAGGTCATGGCTGGTGATGATGATGATATTATGCATACTATGACAGCATGCCATAAACTTGCTATCAAACATTGCTCTTCCACCCTAACAGAGGTAGACGTGAGGTGCGGTGTTTCCAACGTTGTGATTTGGTTTCTGGATTGAGAAACTCTTTGGGCTTTGCTCGCAACAAAATGAAGTAAAAGCGACTCGGGAAAATCTGGCAACTTTCTAGGGCTAATACATTATGCACATTTTTTTGCGATTCCAGCTACGCATTTAGGAGCCTGTATAAATGCACCACGTCTAATACATGGTCAATTGTCTCGTGACATTATTTTATCAGTTCACGATGCTTAATGCACTACCAGTATTCGGTAACTTAGCAAGTTGTTGTTGCTAGACTTTCAATGTCAATCTAAGAGACATTGTTGCATATCAGTTTATATATGTCAGTTATTGCATGTCAGTTGTTGCATGTCAGTTGATGCATGGTAGTTGATGCATGTCAGTTGATGCTTGTCAGTTGTTGCATGTCAGTTGATGCATATCAGTTGATGCATGGTAGTTGATGCATGTCAGTTAATGCGTGTCAGTTGATGCGTGTCAGTTGATGCATGTCAGTTGTTGCATGGTAGTTGATGAATGTCAGTTGATGCATGGTAGTTGATGAATGTCAGTTGATGCATGGTAGTTGATGAATGTCAGTTGATGCGTGTCAGTTGTTGGATGTCAGTTGATGCGTGTCAGTTGATGCGTGTCAATTGATGCATGTCAGTTGATGCGTGTCAGTTGTTGCATGGTAGTTGCTGCGTGTCAATTGATGCGTGTCAGTTGATGCGTGTCAGTTGATGCATGTCAGTTGATGCGTGTCAGTTGATGCGTGTCAGTTGATGCGTGTCAGTTGATGCGTGTCAATTGATGCGTGTCAGTTGATGCATGTCAATTGATGCGTGTCAGTTGATGCGTGTCAGTTGATGCGTGTCAGTTGTTGCATGGTAGTTGATGCGTGTCAGTTGATGCATGTCAGTTGATGCGTGTCAGTTGATGCGTGTCAGTTGATGCGTGTCAGTTGTTGCATGGTAGTTGATGCGTGTCAGTTGATGCATGTCAGTTGATGCGTGTCAGTTGATGCGTGTCAGTTGATGCGTGTCAGTTGTTGCATGGTAGTTGATGCATGTTAGTTGATGCATGGTAGTTGATGCATGTCAGTTGATGCATGTCAGTTGATGAATATAAACTGTTGCCCGTGACGAGGTGGCCGAGTGGTTAAGGCGATGGACTGCTAATCCATTGTGCTCTGCACGCGTGGGTTCGAATCCCACCTTCGTCGAATGCTTGACTTTTTTTCACACTCTCTTCTTGCCAGCTCGTTTTGTAATCCTCTTTACCTTCACAAAACTGGCTTTGTTTAGCGTTGGTTACGTAAGGTATTATACAATACGGGAACTTCGTATCGGCGACCGCTTATCAAGATTCTGTACAGACACACTTGTGCATGTTTATAGACGGAGAGATAAAACCAGGAAATTCTTAAGCCTGGAGTTGAACAGGGCTCGGGATGACGAGCATGTACGGTTTGGGAATGGGGTTCCACACTACAGGGACGAAGGTTGGAAATAAACAACGTGAGAAACGTGTATTGTATACAAGTACATTGATTATTTTCCCATTGTTCTTTGGAATGTTGTGTACTGCATCGACAGTGCACTTAGAGTCGTCTCAATCCACTGCTGGATGAAGTTCCCCGCTTCCCTCCCACCCCACAACATTCGGATCCTGTGGTTTATTGGACCATACCTTGTACAACGCGGATCCATGCATGTTGGTGATAGCGGGCCAGCATAGACTTTGGAGCATAGTACAGTACAACAATCGTGTTTTTTTCCTGCACCCTCCTCTGTTAGTGTGGGTAGGTGGAGATGGGAATCCAAGAATGATTCGGATATCACTCGCCACTGATGTTAGCCATGGCCGGGAATCAAACTCAGATCTCGCCGGGTTTATGGGGCATCTGCTCCACATAAACGTACGGTGTAAAATGTTCATACAGGTATATATATACACACGCACAGGATGCATTACCGTACCCCAAAATGTACTTGTATAGTGCACTGCGCAAACACGGCACCATTAAAGCATCGTAATGGTCGCATTACTCACCTGTGCTACGGGTTAAGTGACATAAGGCAATATGAATTGTGCAATGGCAGTGCTTGATGGGTGTGCAGGGGTTAAAATCCATCTTCAAGAGAGGTTGCACACCGCTGTAGCAACGAGGTTCGGGTGGGTGGGTGGGTTGGTGTGTGTGAGAGATTGTGAATGGTGCGCAATGTGTGGGTGTGTCAGAGTCGATGTGCGGGACACACTTTAACAAAAGGCACGCCAACGATCACTGCCACTATTGTGTGTACACACACACAGTCCCTTTTGTTACTAGACTGCCGGACGGGGGGCGAGGGGAGGAGGGGCCTCATCGTGCAGTGCGGGTGACATGCTGGTGGTTGTTTGTCCATACTTCACCGCGTCGGTCATTATGGGTGGGTGAAGGCGGGGAGCACAGACGTGGGAGTACAGTGACACGAATGTTTTTGGACTTTGCCGCTCTCTGTCATCCACGACAGTCTATATAGCAGCCTGCTGTGTACGGTGGTCGCCCATCCAAAAAAACTATCCAGGGTCAACTCAGCTTAGCATTTGAGAACTTTCGAGATCGGGCGCTTTTCGGGTGACTTTTGTCATCGACTGCAATGTGAAGGAATGTGTATACAGTATTGTATTTTTGTTTTTGATAGGGTTAATACTTCATTGTACGAATAAATGATGTAGGATTTTGAATGGTACTGAAACACATGACGACGGGCTGGGTCTATTGGGACTAAGACCGCATTTAATTCAAGAGGGACGCGACTGTTTTGTCAGTGTGGTCTGGTATATAGGATGTGACTAATCTACTTTGAAAGCCCATCAGAGAAAACGGGATGGGTGTGCCAATGGTAACATTGAGGATGACGGTACAATGTTTCAATAAAGGATACGGTGGCTCGATCTTGAGACCACTAAATGTGGCACGGTTAAATAAAGGATGGCAACCCTGTGAAGTTATCCCAAATTCCAACTAAAAAAGTGGCCCTATGCAGTGACACACACACACGCGGGCACAGCTCAACAACTATGGCAATATTAACGTTTAGTAGAATAAAAGGATGCCCGGGCGTGGCACGGTCAAGGCCGCCTTGTGAAGAAGAAGAAACACAGGGAAGATATTCGACCGTGACAGTGGCTTGAGGGTTAATAAATAAAGGACGTGGTTGGGGTGATGGGTAGGGGTGGTGAGAGAAATAATAATAATCCCTTGTGGATTGTGGCAACAGAGTAATTAATTGAGGGATGTGTGGGTGAGTTGGTTGGCGGAGAGAAGAGAGTGGTTGGTGGTGGTGAGTGGTGTTGGTGGTGGTGAGTGGTGTTGGTGGTGTTGTTGGTGGTGGTAGGAGGGCGGGGACCGTGGTGCCGCGCTCCAGAACTCTTTATCCGGTCACTCCGCCGCCGCCGCCTTGCCTCGGGCCGCTCGTCTCTCTCGCTCGCTCGTTAACCGTGCGGTTTAAAGCAATACCGGACTCGACGACGGCAGAGCGATTTGGCCGGGCAGGAACGGGTCCAGTCGACCGATTCGTTTGCGCGATTTAAGCGGAAAAGACCGTGAGGCGGGAGGGCAAGGGAGGGCGTTGGACGCCGCTCGGATACGGCGCGCCGAGCCCGGTTGGGAGGCGACGAGACCAGCGAGGTTTCTAGGAAAGACCGTAGGCTTCGAGGCCTTTAGCCGGCAAAAAAAATTACGGTTTAATTTTGCCGATTTCTTTTATTTAAATAGCTTTGATTTATTTCGCCCCTCTTTAAACGACATTTGGTTTATTCTGTGATCGAACGGTGTAAAATGTTTAGGTCGTATGCCGGTTAAAATAACTATACAGTAACTGTGAGTGCTTATTACAGTGTATGTCATAGACGGGTAAGAGGCAGGAGAAAGACCGCTTACTTTCCCTCGTGTCGTGCCCAGTTTAGTTTAAAGAGTTTTGGGTTTAATAGCACCGCCGTTTGATTAAAAGTGCGGTAATGTTAGTGTAAATGTTTTATTTAGGTCACGTGCGTGGTCACAACTGCAGTACCGCGTCCTGCTACGACTATCCACCAATTCGAGGCGAGCTCGTGAAGGCGACGCGAGTTTTTAGGTCGCACTGCTGTGTCAGCATTTTGCTTTTACCATTTTAACGTAAGTAATTTTAATTACAACACCGTATACATCTATTTGCATACAAAAATATCGATTTCATCCGCTTTGCGGTTCATTATCCGGCGGGAGTGTTGGACACGAAAGGGCGGATAAGTTGAGTACTGTACACGAGCGGATCAGCAGTTTCCCTCTAAGTAATTTTTTAAAATATATTATAAACAATTTACATGTTCACAGTGCCGCTATTTTGAAAGGTACAACATTAACAGACGGAGCGACCCTTTTATTTCTACCGCACCGAGGTAGAGAGAGCGGCGAGTTTCCGCGGCGTTGTCCGGCCTCCCTTGCGTCGGTTTCACATCGGTTTACCCCCCCCGCGGGGGAAATCGACGGACAATGGGGAAATTCCTCTCCAAGATGTTCGGCAACAAGGAGATGCGCATTCTCATGCTGGGCCTGGACGCTGCCGGCAAGACCACGATCCTGTACAAGCTCAAGCTCGGCCAGCCCGTCACCACCATTCCCACGGTGGGCTTCAACGTGGAGACTGTCACCTACAAGAACGTGCGCTTCAACGTGTGGGACGTTGGCGGCCAGGACAAGATCAGGCCCCTCTGGCGACACTACTACACGGGCACGCAGGGACTCATCTTCGTGGTGGACTGCGCCGACCGAGACCGCGTGGACGAGGCTCGGCAGGAGCTGCACCGCATCATCAACGACCGCGAGATGCGCGATGCCATCATCCTGGTGTTCGCCAACAAGCAGGACCTGACCGACGCCATGAGGCCCCACGAGGTGCAGGAGAAGCTCGGACTGACCAGGGTCCGTGACCGCAACTGGTACGTGCAGCCGGCGTGCGCCTCCACTGGCGACGGTCTCTACGAGGGCCTCACGTGGCTCACGTCCAACTACAAGTCGTAGCGTGGATGGCGTGCGTGGCTGCCCAAAAGGACTCCATCGCTGTCGTCGTCGTCGTCATGATCGGCGGCAACAGATAACAACACCAGATGCCACTTACCCACTTGTTCAAGGCAACCGGCCATCGTCAGCCCGATAGGTGAGGAACGCACCTTAGACTTGCTTGGGTCACTGGCTGACATGTCAATCTGTTGTGCAGTGTGGGATTTGGTGGACAAAACCACTACCGTTCAGCAAGATTGTCCGCCCGCTCACGTGGTGAAGAGATGGAGACACTTGGGCCACCCTGGAGCCGACATTGGTTTGCCCCGTGTGAACTGGAGATTTGGTGGCTAAAACCTATCGCCAGCATTTTTCACCTGCTCACCGGGTGAGACAGACACACTATCTGCCTGAGCTCAAGTTGCCATCAACTGAAGCAGCAGTGTGATGAATAAAAAATATAAAATAATTACTTGCCACCAACGCCTGCTTGCGCAGAGAAAAAAACAGAGACACCTGAATCTGCATTTTTGTTTGCCACCATTTACACACCCTAACATGCAAGAGGACACCTGACTGCCTGGGCCTCCCTGATCTGAAGTTGCTTGGTCAGGTGTTTGCTTTGTGTGCTCAGTGGAAGTGTGGTCATCTTATCACGTTGCTGCTCACCAACAGAATTGAAAATCTTAAGATTGATTGGGCCCTAAGTTGGGCTGAAGTTTAATTTTTTTTTAGTGTATGGTGGCTAAACCCATCACCAACATCGCCGTGACCCACGCAGCCGCAATGGGGACAATGACAAGAGACTTGATCCACCTTTGTTTCGAAAGAATGAAGTTGATGTCTCATTTACCCCAGGTTTTTTACGGGTGGATGGTGGCCCAATTGCCATATTTATCAACCAAGCTTGGGTTTGTGTTAAGAGTATTTGCCAAGGCATCTGGTTCTGCCTCGTGTTGGAGTAAGAAGGCAGGTTGGCCTTGTCAATGACCGAGAAGCTGCGTCACCTCACATTTCTTCCTGGTTTTTCTGAGACAACGGTGAAACCCAGCTCAGCCTTGGGGCGCGTGAACCTTTCCACCGGGCAGACTGCTCTGCTCTCTCGTCGACAACTGAGAACTCTGCTGTCTTGACTCTGATCCCTTTGTTGCGCTTGAACTCTAGAGGTGAAAAAATCCCTTTCAGGAACAAGGTGGATCAGTGGAGTGGCACTGGTCTTAGAGGCCAGAGGGGCCAGGCTTGTCTCCTGACACTCGTTGGACCTCTGACTGTGGACGCTGCTGTGTCTACACCTGGAGTACTTATACCACATTTCGAATGATGTATGATGTGTTTGGCGATGAAAATAATGGTATGACAAGCACAGGCGTCTATTTTTATATACGTGTAAAGTTGTACTTTTGAGTGCGCTTCTCAAACAGCAACTGGGTTCTAATGTGGTTCAGGTCTTTGGCTCTCGCAGGCGTGGTAGGGGTTTATGGCCATGCCCGATTGTCATTGTATTCTCTTAAAACGACGGCACACACTTGCACACAATCATCACTGAGCGAGGTAGCTAGTGCAGTATTTTCTGACTTCAAGATTTGGGTTTTCATTATGTTGTGTAATTATTATGACTTACGAGAGCTGCAGTTTAGGGCCATAACGTTTGCTCACTCAGTTACACGAATGCATATTCATTGGTAACCAACAACAAAAATCCCATGTGTTGAGGCTGGCACTTAATGACCACAATTGTGTGTGTGTGGCTGTGTACGCTCGTGTAGATGTTTTGCGTGGTTTGTGTGTGTGTGTATATGCTCGACATTGCTTGAGGTATTGAAATTGCTATCTTAAGCCCAGGCGTGGTTCTGTCTTCGGTCCACGAAGCTTAAAGCGAGTTCCTGGTGTTGTTGGGTGGTCAGTGTCAGCATAGGGGGAGACGGAGGGGTGTCCGAGCCATACGTGGTTCTGGCCATGCCAACACCTTGTGCTGTGTGCCGGTCTGCTCACGAACCAGCACTTGTCCCAGCAGTCTTCAATGATGGATCTTTTGCGTTCATATAAGTTTGTGCGTGCGTGCTCGTGGTGTGGCTGTGTGTGTGTGTGTATGCCTGTTTTGTGTGCGTGCGTGCGCGAATTCGGCACTTGGTTGACTGCGCAACTGTCGGGGCTGATCTCGTAATAGCTCCGAAGCACGCGGCGACGCAGCGCCGCTGTTGAAACTGTCTCTGCCGCTCGCCAATGTTTTCCACGAGTTTAAAATCGTTTTAATCGCAGATCGTACAAAAAAAAACCCCCAGAGATCATAAAGTAATAACACAGTACTTCAAATTTTGTCCGCGCGAGAAGGGTCTGAATTCCAACGGGTTCTAATAGACTCTGCGCAAATAAGATATAGATTTTTGTTATTAAATGTTATTTTTAAAAAAATTACTTGTACAAATGGAATTTGAATGTCAAGGCGGCGGTTTAAGGCGTGGGCGTTTTCGATTTGAATGCGGCTTTCTCTGGTTCCCAGCGATACTGGTCAGGAGTGTGGTTTACAGTGATCATTTGGCCCAGCTGGAAACTACATTGAGAATACTTTATCACCTTCTAGATTTGAAGCTTTCGTGACTGCAAGGATTCATAGTCTTTGTTTTTTTCGGTAAAGTCACGTAGGTAAAATAAAATAAATTAAACTAAAATAAAACAATTAAATCACGACGTTTCGGAGGCAACACAAGCTTCCGTCTTCAGGTGGAACAGTCACAGCAAGATCGCTGCATCACAGCAAGATCGCTGACATCACTTGATGCAGCGATTTTGCTGTGACTGTACCACCGGAAGACGGAAGCTTTTGTTGCCTCCAAAACGTCGTGATTGATTTGTTTTCTTTAATTTTAATTTATTTTATTTTACCTACGTGACTTTACCGAAAAAACCAAAGAGTATTTATCACCTTCGTCGTTTAAGTAACACTGCCTTATGATGCACTGAAAGATACATAGTAAGCTACTATCCCAGTCGGTGGTCTCTTCTTGCTTTGTCATAGTACGGAGCAGACGAGTGCCATCGGCCAAAATGTTAGCTTGCTCCTGTTCGCTTGGTTTTGGTTTATAAGGCTGTGTTTGTCCATAATGAGAGTGGCAAAGCACTTTCAGTCAGTGCTTATGCTCTGTTGCCTAGGCAGTCCCTGAAATTTTATTTGCGATAGCACGGTTGCGCATTTACATTTGGCATTTTTTTCTAATAAGTGACGCCACACGAGCTGAAAGGAAACACCTTGCTGGCTCGATTTTAATGGTGCGTTTAATTTAAATCTGGTATCATTTGTGGTGTTGCAAATCATGGATGAACCGACCCCACTAATATTGATCCAATTTGTCACATTGGAGAATTAAGCCAATTGCTATACAAAATTAGATTTTGGGGAAAATAAATTGAGTGCTTGAACTTGTTTGAGCGAATTAAAACTGGAAACCCATGATCCTGTATGACAAACTGGAGCGATACAAAACATGTACTGTAGACCTATCTGAAACAGAATTGGACTTTTAATGGAAAAAAAATCAAATTAGTTTTCACATTCAAAACTTCATTCGGAATGTTAAATTGTATTCGCCATTCACTTGTTCACCTGCGGTACAGGTATACAGTTCCCAAAACACTGACGCTTTTGTTCCTTATATACCAATGTACATTGATGCTATTAACGTGTCACAGTCGCCTCTTAAGTTAATCGGTTGTGTGTGGGGTGATGCTTACACTCGACTGACCTCAAATGCATGGTGTGTAAGGTCATACTTGTTTTTTAAAGGTCTTCTAACTGGCCAAAAAAAAATGTATGTTGAACTTGGGGATCATACAACATGACACCATTTTCACATCATGCATTGGGGTGTTATACACTGTTGCCTATCCTCACACCCCTCGAATTTTCACCAAATTTATTTTGAAAAAAAATACATTCGGATGTATCCCCTCTCCCATCCCATGGTTGCGATTTGTTTACTTGTGATAAATGGTGATGTTGAATGATCCCTAAATGCGCTGAATTTGTGATCGCGAGAAGGCTGCTTCTGCTGATAACTGGCAGCAAAGCCACCAGGTTGCTGCTATTTTTTCGTGAAGCAGTGTTTCTGTCTTCATGCAGTGATTTAATTTGTTTTACAAAGCGACAGCCGCCCGTTTGTTGCCCTGTCGCCTTACTGTCGCACGGTGCAGCACTGTGCTCTGCGATTTCCAGCGAAAGCTGCGCGACAAAGGCTTGAAATCTTCTTTGGTTCTTTCGGGAAAGTCACGTAGAATGAGAATAAAATAATAAAATAAAACGATGAAATTCTCACGACGTTTCGGCCACAACACAAGTAGCCGTCCTCAGGTGAAGAAACAGGACTGTCCAGAAGACAGCACTCAAGCGCTGTCTTCTTCGCTGTCTTCTGGACAGTCCTGTTTCTTCACCTGAGGACGGCTACTTGTGTTGTGGCCGAAACGTCGTGAGAATTTCATTGTTTTATTTTATTATTTTATTCTCATTTTTACGTGACTTTACCGAAAGAACCAAAGAAGATGAATCCTTGCAGTCACGAAAGCTTTAAATCGAAATTTAAAGGCTTGAAATTTTCGATGGGCCAATCGACGAGTGTTGCCATATCCTGCCCAATGCCCTGCCTTTGGCCATGTAGGGGAGTGCCATTAGCAAGCGAAATAAAAAGTGATGTCATTATTAATGGCCTGTGCTTTTAGAGACTCAATTTAAGGCCATGGTAAACGGGGGAAATTGTCGCAGGCTTTGGTTACCGGCAACACGTTTAGTTAAAGTTTGTTCAGTTGATTTATTGTTTAACCAGCTGAGAACTTGAGAGACCAAAATAATCTTATTTGCAAGAGTGATTTGGGGCATTAATCTGCGATGATTGCTGCTATATATAATCCCGATTTGAGTAATTTTACAAGTAACTTAGAATTCGACATTTCAATCCTGACACCAGCACATTGGCCTACTATTGCGAATGACGACAGAGGATCTTTACCGTCCACTGTTGAGTATTGTCGTGGTTGTTACACCCACGGTAATAACCAGGGTGGCCGCTGAATTCGACCCGTGAACTTTTGCAACAAGTGGCAAATGCGCCACCGCTAAGGACATTCTACTATTATGATGAGCAACTGTGGCAACCTGGTACACGTCAGTGGCACAGAGTGATGATGGAGTTCTGTTCAGGCATTGGAAAAATTGTTTGAAGACGTGATGAACATGCAAAGGTCATGTGTTAGTTTTTAATCTGATTGTAAGTTTTCATCATAGTTGCCCATGAGGGGAGCCAGCTTTTTACAATGGAACTTACTGGTGAAATTATCACTCAAATATTGCTCTCAAATGTTCACACTGTCATGACCTTTGGATGCTTCGGGTGAATTGCTGGTTCAAAAAGGTGACTAGAGGCTTACCTGTGGTAAATTTAAATGGATGTGCTTTTATTGTGGCTCTGGTTTTCAGTCAACTCCATGTAAACACTCGTTGCATTGGCCTTTCAAAACTACCTTGAGATTGTGTTTTCATACATTGCTTGCGTGAACATCAATCGTTTGGAAGTTCCACCATGAGAAAATGCATATTTGATTTGGTGTCTGCTTTCTATTGCTCTGGGCTGCTCTGTAAAAAACGTAACGTGTGAGCCAATACGCGGTCCACAACTACACAAAAGGCCCGATTTGTAAGGCTTTAGTGATGGGGCATTTTAGTGCCATAATGGGCACGAAGGTCATCGGGACTGGTTTTTTAATCTGCATCTCGGATTTAATCGCTTCATTGTATTGTTTTAATTTCCTCACTTTGATTTTCTATAATCTCATCACCATTACTGCCTTTTAATGTATGGATCTTTTAAAAAAACTTTCGTTGCAAAGTGAATTGAGGCTTGTTATTCTGTATCAATAAGTTTATGATAATATTAAATAAAATGCAACAACCCTGTTTCGACTTAACTTGACAGGTCTAGCCTATCTTTCACCATGGTGTAAAATGTGCCTCGCAGTTATGCGAGCAGATCATTGGCCTCCACGTGGTGATCTGCACACCGTTTGACCCTGTCACGTTGGGGTGTATCGGTGCTCGAATGTTCTCTGTAACTCCAGGCGCTGGGACCCACCAACCAACCAATCTTTCCAATTAGACCGGTAGAGAGAGTGTGTGTATGTATATATTGTGAACTTCACATATCGGCCAATGCCCTGCATTTCAAAGAGTAACATTGGTAGACTTGGAAAGTTGGAGCTTTGGTGGTTCACCAAGCCTGGACTTTAAACTGCTGCTGGCTGGGAGTGGTGGTGGTGGTGGCAGCATTTACCCACCTTTTGTTAATCCAGCGACTCGGGAGATGGGATTGGTAGATCGTATAGGAGTTCTGAATTGCTGCTTCTATAGCAAGAGATGTGGTGATGTGCGTAATGTGCCCATTTGCTGGGCTATAGGATGGGACTTTAGGGGTGTATACAGAAAGTAGGTTTGTCCTGTTTTTTGCAGAGGCTTAGGGCCAGATTCACATCTTGACGAATCGTTCAAAATGCGTGACCTTGGTGGTTGTCTCCAGAGTTATTAATGGAGACCTGGCCACAATTATGTACAAATAAAATCGGTTAAAACAAACATTTTCCAACATGTGAACTGAGTCCGTAGTATTTTCCTATGTGTGGGTTTTCTCCAGTTTGTTTCCTTCCACAAACAAAAAAAAACGCCATGAAACAAGAATTCCTTAAACGTGTTAACAGTCTTAAAAACTTTGGAGCTTTCCAAGTGAAGAAATATAAGCCATAAAATCTGATATTTCGCACCAATTTGGTCGCAAAGCATTGTTCATCGGGTCAGTGTTTTTTTTAATCTTATTTTAAGACTAAAAGAAATCCGACACCTCAACTTTGTACCGCAACTTTGGATGTTAAATAATATTGTAACGCGATGTTTACATGCAGATGCTTGCGTTCATTTTCCGAAGGGTTGAGAGAGTTGCTTTGAAGAAAGTAATACATGGTTTTATGAGTAACGATTTTGAGTGTGAGTTGAGTTTGTGCCCTGTGCTTTACCAGTGAATCCTAATTCTTCAAAATACATGCTTGGGTTTGGCATATTAGTCCTAACACTTTTACTGAATATTAAGAATCCTATAATTATCACCGAACCTGAGCCCAGTACGTATGTTGAACTTATTTTGCACCGTACGTAGCCAACCGTGCTAATATGTGTGATGGTGGATACCTGTGATCCGGGAAGAGGTTGTGGATCACGTGGATTTGTGAAACTCCCAAACCTGCTGGG